CCGGACACCACCGGAGTTTGGTGGGAGTCTCTGACGAAGGAAGTCTGTCCTGAACCCAAGTGGCTTAGCCACAGAAACCCAGCCTGGGAGCAGGTGGAACACACCACAAATAACCCCTACCGCCCACTACTGGCCCCATCTCCAGAGGTTCTAAAAGTAGCCAAGTTATCTGACCTGCGTGCCACCTGCTTTACGGCTCTGCTTGGCACTGCGGTGGGGATCCCAGAGCATGGGAGGTGGCCAGGAGGCAGGAAGTTAGCCGTAAAGGAAACAAGGAGGTCACGGCCTGGCAACTCCTGCTTCCTAAGCACCGTCTGCTCTGAGTTGCCTGAGGGGCCCCTCACCCACTTCCCCTCCATGGAAGGGCACTCACAGTTGGGTTCTGACATGGCTGTGGGCGAGGATTTGTGGGAACTCCTTGAGGACGCTGACGGCGAGTGAGTGGTGGTAAGGCCTGAGGCGCCCACGTCAAGTGCATTGAAGTGCGGCTGAGGTTCCAGGCTTGAGCCCTTGTCCTGAAACACACACACGCAGAGTCCATGTTTTGGCATCAGGACGATGGGCACAGGCCCAAGGGCTGCCAGCTGGGGTGTGCACGTGCCCTGCGAGGCTGGAAACCAGGTGGCAGCCACGGGCTTGGATCCCCAGGCTGGCCTGAAAACAACACCGGGGCACACAAGCGCCCAGGATTCTGAGGACCCACAGGGCCAGGGAAGGGATCATGGCATAATGAGCCCTGTCAAGGGCACGTCTCTCTCTAATGCACGTGTGTGTCACTCTCATTAAAGGAAAAAAGGTGATGTGAATGAATAAGTGATATGACTTGAATTTTATCATAGAGAAAAAAATGGGAATTGTGGAGACAAATTCTGTACCTGTCTGGGGACAATTCTAAATATACCTTGGTGGAAGGTATACATTTATGTAATCTAAAAGGTATCAAGAGGCTTGTAGACCATTAGCAGTAGTTACTGGGCTGTCGGAAAAGTCATGAGGTATTTTTCTGTTTTTCTACGTAAAAATATATCATGGCTTTTCTAAGACCTAATGTTAATTCTTTTAGCTTAAAATTTTATTTTTAAGGTTTTTACCATAGGGCCTGTGTGCTTGTCAGAGAGAGGCAGAGATAAACAGTGAGAGGAAAAATGAGAAATCATCCTCTAGGGTGGATGGCCACATGGCAATCCCTTATCCATTCACCCTGTGGGATTTGGGGCATGCATGCACATACACCTGGACTGATTTTCAAGCTGCTGGGTCCAGGACTTAAATCACAGTCAACCAATTAGGAGCCTAGTGCCTTGACCACTGTGCCACCTGCTGGTCCCCCTTACCTTTTATTTTGATTTTCTTTTAAAAATGCATGATAGAGAACAGATGCACATTAGAGAAGCACCCTCAATAGAGTCTTGTCACACCACGACCCCCTCTCCCCGGCCCTCCAGGTCCTCAGATCTGCATGCACCTAGAATACTGTTAGGCTGACCTTGGGATCTGAACCCTGGAAGGTCATACAGCTTCCCACACTGCAGTCTGTATGCTATGGACTGCACCACCTGCCTGGGCCGATTTTCTTTCTGAAGTGCAGGGTCCAACCACGTCAGGACCTCCTTCCTCAGCCCCAGCTGAGCCTAGGGGAGCACATATCATGCCCGCTCTCTTCCGTACAGGGCCTTGCTCCGTCTCAGGTCAGCCTTGAGCTTGCAGCCCTCCTGGTTCAGCCTCCTGCGCTGCAGGGACCACAGGCACACGACTCAGCACCTGCCCTTTACGAAGGGTCAGGAAACAAACCTGGGTCCTGTCTGAGGTCCAGGCTTGTAGGGCAGCGTCTGAGCAATGTATTATACGGTGGTGAGGCCTATTTTGATTTTTCAGAATTTCACCCCTGCCTTTGCAGTGGATTTTTTCCCTTAATATGACACTTTACCACCCACAATGTTGGCTTTCTGAGATGAGGGGCGGGGTCAGGTTCTAGAAATAAGGAAGCTGTTGGTGCTCTAGTGTTAACACAGCCGATGAAACCAAGGCCTCTCGGGGCGCCACCTAGGCTCCCTCCCATAACTTATTCTCGTAGCCTCAGGGCCCTGGAATGCAGGATGGGCCAGGGGCCCGTGGGCTCCTCTCTTCTGGCCTCTGTCCTAACTGATCCTGGCTCCCAGGATGACTCTGCCTCAAATGTAGCGTGGTGACAAACCAACGGGACGTCTGATGCCGACGCCCCCACGCTGCCGTGGCTGAGGTGTCGCAGGCACAGGAAAATGTGGGTCGTGATCGCTTTTCAGCTAAAGAAGAAACACAGCGATCAGTCTCCTGAGCCCGAGTCCTACCTAGGACTAAATGAGGGACGCTGTGGGGGCAGTGGCAGGGTAACGTTCGGTGATGCTGGAAGCCTTGTGGAAGGCTGGGGTTCGGTTCCCAGGCTGACCTGTCCATGGTGGGTATGTGTACCAGGATGCTGGCTGGCTGGCTGGGAAGGCTGAGGTTGGGGACGGCTGAGGTTGGGGACTGTGGTGTGAGATCCTATTGACGATGCTAGTCTCTCCCGTAAAATAAATAAATATATTTTAAAAAGAAAAAAAAGAAGGCTAGAAATTGCCGGCATCCACTGGGCCATCACAGGCTCTGTGACCTGTAGTAT